TTGAAGATGATATGATGATGGTGCAATGATGTTGAAGATGATATGATGATGGTGCAATGATGTTGAAGATGATATGATGATGGTGTGATGATGATTTTGATGATGGTGGAGATGGTAATAATAATGATGATCTTGATGATGATGGTGGTGATGGTGAGATGTTGATAGTGGTAATGATGATGATGATTGTGATGATGATGATGATAAATATAATGCTGAAAAGGATAATGGCAATGGATTGCATTGATGATGATGATGATAATGTTGATGATTGTGATAATGATTACCCTGGGATCGGTGTATATTAAATCTTCTTAAGTACATACTATGAAACCTTTATCACTTAGTCTTGTGCATTTCATTCTCAGATTTGGTGCTGTACAACCAATATATATCAATCTAATACGAGACCCCTTATCACGCCTGGTGTCTGGTTTTTATTTCCTTCGATTTGGTGATGGCCGAGAAAGGTCATGGAGATTCTCTGGTCCAGCAAATCACCTAAACTTGGTACAATTTAAATGCCATTTATGTTCTATTAAACCTGTATGTTTTGGCCTGTCTGTTGGCCTAGCAAACTTTCTGTAAAGAAGTGGGAGGGCGCAGTGAGGTGAGCAGGAGTAAACACACCCATAGGCAATTTGGGGTGAAAATTTCCACTGAATCCACAGGAACCCCAACAGAATACTTTTCAATTGATAAGGACATTCATATAGAATTTCTGAAACATTTCAATTTRAATACTTATAGGCTTTGTTTGTTTAAGATTTTTTTCTCCTTCAGCATTAAAAATGTAAGCTATAATCAAAAAGACTCTAAAAATTTAAGAAAGAAAATTTCTTATTTAATATAGTGATTTTAAAAACCAAATCTTTTATTTCAATTTTAGAGGAAAGAGGAAATATTCCCAAAATATAGATTGATGTAACAAAAATTTATAGGTACATTTGCCTTTTTTTCTTCCAGTCCTTTAACGAATGTGTGTTGAAGAATTATTCAGAGTGTACAGATCCCCGTCGACTATCATACATCATTCCATATTTTTGTGGACAGTCTGCAGGATGCAAGTAAACACCTTGAATTTCCTCGTACCTTATGCCCATCCCTTCTCCCCCTCACCCCTCTAAGCTTGACATTAATTGATCCTCCTATCCCCCTCCCTCCCCTTCTCAGATTCAGGTTCCATAGTTGATACTTGTTGAGGATTCTAATCTTGACATTGATTGGAAGATTAAACTTTCCCTTCACTCATTCCCCCCCCCACCTCCTTAGTTTCAAGTTTCAAATTTATCACACAGGGTTACCATGCATACTTTTAACTCTCCACCACATTGATTGACACTGCACAGATCATCTCCAAAGCATGCTTTAAGACAAGCCATTACCAACGTGGAAACCAAATATTTAGTGGTTGGTGTGTTGGAAGAGGTCAACGACTTCATTAAAGTACTAGAAAAATTGCTACCCCAGTTCTTTAGAGGAGCTTATGAAGCGTGGAAAAACCCTGGTAATACTTTAAATATTATCTGATTTATAACTTAGTGCTTCTACGTAAAACAACTCAGCATTCCTCTTCTTTTCCCAAAAGTATATTTACCCCCTCCCTCTCCCTCTCCCCCACTTCACCCCACCCCACCCCACCCCACACAAAAATTCTGCATTATTTCCTTGGGCACTGGGGCGAGAAGACTGCTGACACCTTGGCCAGGTGATGACAAAACTTCACTGCGTCTGTTGTTTTAATTTATGTTTTTGTTTGTTTGTTTGTTTGTTTGTTTTGCTGTTTTTGCTTTTCACAAAGTTTTCTTTTCTTTCGAAGGTTTGGAAGAGTCATTGAAAAGGAAAACTACCAAGACAAAACAAAAAATAGCTCCATCTGCTGAAGTGGTAGCCATCATGAAAGAGAGGTTAAAGCTAGAGTACCAGTTTTATGACTATGTTAAGTTAAAGTTTCAACATTTGAAAAAAGAACTAGGGATATGAGTTATGGATAGATAATTTATTTTATTATATACACACCATACTGACCCATCACACCGTACTGACCCAACACACCTATACTGACCCAACACACTTTACCGACCCAACACACCGTACTGACACAACGCACCCGTACCGACCCAACACACTTTACCGGGCGCAGCTAATTAAATACTCGGAGTATGCATGCGTTATTACAATAAATGATTATTAATTGAATTTATTTAACCCTTTATTATAAATGTTTTTCATGTTTATCTCTTGTTTGATTTGATGTGGCGCACCCCTTTATACTTCACGCTTTGCCAAATTTTCCTCTTTTCTTTCATTGACCTGTTACATGGTTCGTGACGAACTTAATTGGCTTCGTTAAGCAATTCCCGTCAACTATGACAAAAACATTCTATTTTAAATCTTCCTTGGCTTCTTAGCACTTAAAAAGTTTCTATGAATAGACGCGCTGAAACTCAATATCAGTAGTGGTATAGTGAATATTTGACGAAACTTCTAAGTTTACTTCGTCGTACGAAAGCTCGAAAAGTTCTACTTTCTTGAAAGCAGCGTATTTTATTTATGTATTTGTTTCATTTATTTATTTAATATGTTTTTGATAAACAATCTATTTCAGCTTGTACATAGAAAGAATACATGCAACCATAGTTAGTATTTCTCTGTAAACGTGGTAGTATAATTTTAAATAAATGTGCACGGATGGAAATTTTCTACTTCGAACTGAATCAAAGGAATCCGCATGCATAGAGAAGGTCGTTTTTAAAAATATGATTATTATAGGTATATATTTTGTACAAAATTCTGAGACACTAAAATGGCTTTTGTTAACCAAACATGGCGCGCGCGGGCATATTCTTGCATTCTGATTGGCTGAGAGCGGAAGCCATTTCAAAGTCATACGGTACGATGCGTTTCCGGTGTCTTACGACATCTATCTAGATTATTCCACGATTTCCTAACATCATGTTAGGATCAGCAATAACAATCTGCTGTATTGTTAACGAAAAGGAAACGTTTTATAGTAAACCGATACTAGATATGCCTAGCAATGGTCTTCTTGTGTTATTAATTTTGTTTTTTTCGTCCAATTGTTTTTATCTTTCTAGAAAGTATGAAAAATTTCATTATATTGACCCTCTATAATCTGTCTATCAAAGCCGGAGCCGGAGAGCAGAATATCCTTCCTAAATATAGCGGCTAATTATTCAAAGCAAAAGTACCCTTTATAACCTTTTTTTTTTCTTTTTAAAAATTTAATATGGATTTTGTATGTAACTTCTTGAACTGGTTCATCAAAAGTCAAATCTCTATCATTTTAATTATTGCGTGCTTTCAAAACTRGCTCGTCATTCGTAGAATATCTTTCTTAGAATCACTAAAGCACTTAGCTCAACTTGACTCATAAAAAGAACTCGTTGAAATTTTTCCTTTCAACTTCGCTCCTCGATCCTTTAGTTGAAAACACCTACTCGTAATACTAAATATACTATGTTTCATTTAAAAAATGAAGGATTTGATATAATTTTATTAAAAGCTAGTCGAAGCGTAGCATAGTTCCTCTTGAGAGAACTCTCTAGAAGAAAGTCAAAACACCACGCGCCATTTGTAGATCAACACTTCATACAAACGGACAACGCATCACTAAAAATATCAGTATTCAATCATGTCAAAAATATTGCCTGTCCGAAAGAAGCTTTAATCCTCATCTAAAAATATAACTTTGAGTATTGAAAGCAGATGGGTCAAGTTAGATGAAAAACAACAAAATATCTCTCTTCTAGAAATTTCGTTAGTTAAATTTATGAGTCATGAACGTGAAAGAATGCTCATCATCAAAACAACATAATCTACTTATATCCTAACATTAAAAAAACACGAGACCAAAGTAGTCAAAAAATTCTTGTTTATAAATTTTATAGGTGTTTTTTTATTTTTAAGGGCAGTTTTCTATTTATATATTTTTTGTAAATTTAAATTTTTAGTCGATCTCTGACTCTTATCTTACCACAAAGTGAAAGATAACGCTTGTAATAGCAATAGAAAGTTCTTTGAGATCATTGTTGTGGTGTCACCACATTATTTCTCCTGATCTTATCCCTATTTAACCAATATTCTGCGTTCAAAATCATCTTACTGAATTAAATCAAGAAATATTATTCTTCATAGGCGAGAACAATAGCAGGGGCTTTCACGATTTCTCTCACTGCTGCAGACGTATACAGGTATTTACAGACACCTTAGAATTCGTTGTTGGAAAACAAAAAAATATTCAGTCTCTAAAACTCCAGCCGTTCCTGGTCATGCGGAGAACCTGATTTGCATGACACAAGCTCGAAGTTCGCACCCGTCCACAGTGAAAAGACACCGAGCTAAAAAACTATAGTTTCAAATCCTTATTTGTCTAAGTACGCTTCTTTTTCGTAGTATTGGTTTTTTGTTTTACTTTCCGTTTTCAAAAAAAAAATTTTTAGTTTTTTAATCTCCAAATTTACTCCCTCAGCTTCCTCCCTTTACCTCCCCCAGCATCATGTCATGTTCCTTGTGGTTTTCTTTTCAGATCTTCCTTTTCCTTTTCAATTCAATTTATGCATAAACTTGGTTTGATAGTTGTTCTTTTTCCTTCTCATCGATCACTCTTCATTATTATACTTTCAGTTGCTCGTCGCACGTTTTTTCAAGCTTTCATTTCCATCCCGTTCCTTCCTCCCCCCTTCAGATCTACATCATCCCTTCTTTTTTCCCATAAATCTACTTATTAAATTAATTCTTTTATTCATTTCCTTTTATCCATGCTTTCTGACGAAAATAAACTAGGTGTAAAAAAAACCGCCAAAATCTAAACTTTTTCGGCTAGTTGTTTTTAGCTTCTTTCCAGTTTTTTCTTCCCCGTTTTATCCATTAGTAACTTTACTGGTCTCCTTTAAAGCTATATCTATCACATCATTTTTAATTCAGCTCTTTTCACATAATGATAGATTTGAAATTGTTTGTTAACGCTCATTTCGAAGAACAATGTCAATCAGAATGTTCTAGAAGATCGGATGGCACGCCGCGATGCACTCACCTGCTGTTTGCGAAGTCAACTTTGTCTGGGCATACAAAAACCAATGAATATAGATGAAAAACAAATATAGTTCTAGAAGTTCCCTTTACCGGTTAAAATTAGTGAATTTTGCACCACGTCTAAAATACACAAACAAGCTGACCTGAAAAGATCTCATGTCAGGACTACCGGCGTACTAAACACTAGCAGCTCTAACTGAAACAGCTTGTAAGTACTGTATTATCGCTTTTGAAATTGTTTCTAACTTTACTTAGAACGGTTCTCCAAGTGGTATAAATTTGAGATGTATTTTATGAATTCGGGCGCTTCCTATTCAAAAGTGAATATTCATAAAAATTTCATGTCTTGCATTGGTTATAATTAACTTTAACCAAATCGTTTTTCTAAACGGTGGTAATGAAACATGTATGTCCATATTTCAGTATTTATATATATTTAAAGGTACTAATAATAATAAATATAGAGCAATGGGAGAATAAACGCTAGCGTGGGTGGGTATAATTGGTGCAATTGAAATAAAAGGCTTTTTAAACGGTTTTGTCATTCGTAGTAGGATTCGCCTGGTGTAGAGCTACCTTACGTGCGAGTGCTGCCATTTATTTATTTATTTATTTTTACCTTATATATCAGGTAACTTAATATATTTTTATGCCGATGATATTAAAACTGATAAAGTATTTCGTAAAGTTTGTTCTTATGTATTAACCACTTCGAGGGTTAAGAAAAACAGGGTTGGCATGGCAGTGCACTGTGGGACTCTTAGCGGACATATTTCCAAGATGCCGCGTCCACACTCCAGTTTCGAGTTCTCTGTTACTCAACACTTAACCTCGATTTTGTTTAGAATATTCATGTGTTCCATCGAAGGTCCGTGGAGTTTCTGAGGGTTTTTATTTTTGAAATTGTGCATTTGATTTACTTGACCGTCGGTATTTTGTGAATATGTAGACACTGATACGAGAATAACTTGCCAACCCTGAATAAATCTGTCTGTGATCAAAGAACACAGCGGTAATTTGGAACTCGAAAAGGCTAGATTTCGTCCTCTAGAAAAGCCCCAGAATGCAGTGCAATACCAACTCGATCCAGTTTTTCCTTGACTATTTTATATTTTCTAAATGATACCCGAAGGAACTTCCCCCCTTTCCCCCCCCCCCCCCTCCACCCATATGATTTCCGTTATGAGATCCTATTCAATTAAAAATTATAATAAAAGAAAAATCAAAAAGAAACTAGAAAGAAAGAAATCTAATAATAGGAATCGACCAAAGCGGAAAAACTCAGGAAATTAACCGGAAACCAGACATTTATTCCTTAGAATTAGAACGTCTTACTTGCCCCAAGGTGTCGACAATTAAGAAGAGCTAGCAAGATTTTTTGATAACGTTTTCCCAACCTTCGAGCGCCTTCTGTAGCATCCTAAGTGTCACCACGTGGCAAATGGAATATTTAATCAGTAACAGCAGGCAACTTAGTAATTTAAGTCTCGTATGATTGATTGAATTTTGAGTAGAATCTTTGTTATTTCTAGACTAAGTATTTAAAGAAAAGGGCTTTATTAGAGCAGATCTCGTATGAGAGTGAGACGATTGAGAAGCTTCCAGAGTGCTTCCGTTTAAATCCGACTCCTCTTAGTTACTGTTGCTGTGCCCCATAAGCTCAACATATAAGTTATAGAATATCTCACAATTTAAAACAATGGAAAATTGGAAAAAAAAGTTCTTAAAATTGTTTCAATCGCCTGTCTAATGAAAATCTGAGACCAGAACTATGAATTGGCTTCCAAAAAGGTATTGAATGTTCACCAGCCAATCACAATCTTCAATAGGGAAGCCATTTTAGTGGCAGCTGTACCAGACGTTTCCACAGCAACTGCGCAATTATTCGTACTCCAGTTACCATATCATATCATTCCCTTATAGAACGAAGACAGTAAAGAGGAATATAGGAAAAGAGTAAACTAATTTGAGCTATGCAACCTAAGAATGCTCCCAGGTAGGGACCTGATGTTTTGAGAAGAAAGCGAACGTGAGTTTGGTGGGTCGACCCTAATAGGCTCCTTGAAATCCTCACGCGACACTGTATCTTTACTATYTTTCTATACAGAAAACATCGTATAGCAAACCCTGAGAGTTACAGTACATTGACTATCTACATTCATTGCTACATCCAGTTTTGGAGATCCGAGTATTGAGTTCAAAAGATTACCGACTCTTCCAAAGAAGATGGGTAGCAGGTATCCCCTCCCTCCCCTCCCCTCTAAATTGGCTCCTGTAAGATTACAATTTTTTGACGTCATCTTTAGTAGATACTTAAAGTAACCGAAGCGTTATTTTACTTTACTTAAAAAAGATACTAAAGAATTCGACCCTAGAATAGCGTCAGCTATGAAATCTTCGTTCCTCCTAATCAAAATGAAAACCTGATCTACAAATTGCCTCGGAGATTTCCCACTATTTGCCAGACATGTTTTTCCCCTGAGGCAAATGAGCATCGCGTCAAAAACCACTATTAAAATGAAAGTGTTTGGTCTCTTCCCTGATGCAGGGTTCTTTCTGAAGGTTCTCCTCTCTGGCTTTCCTCCCTCCACAAAACGTAACAAGCTGAATGATTCCAATGCCATCTGTGATTTAGCCATGGCTTCACTTAGATCTAGCAAACTCGCCGGTACCCAGAATCCTCCAACGCCGGCCTTTCTGCTTTGTCGTCAGCCGGCGCGCTGACCAAAAAGCCAGAAGACTCTGGGTTCGAGACGAGACGGTCACTACATTTTAGTATTTTAAAAAAACAGATTTTTTTTTGGTGCCGGTCAAAAAATATATAAGATCTAAAAAGACAACGATTTGAGCCGGCGTTTTTCATCCTACACACAACTGGCCTATTTCCGGATACTTCTAGAAGACTAATTTATTGACAAATGTTTTTAGTTACCAGTGAAATAACGACTTCGGTGTTTGATCGTTAAAGTACCATCTGGTAAGATAATTTCGGTAAATTTAAGTGAGAATTTAACTTTAAGACGCTAATTCTAGAAAGTTGGAAGTCCTTTCAGGTTGGCGGTCTAGCTTGTTCTGCGCGCGACTTGAATATTAGGTCTGGACTGATTTTTGTCACGATATGAATATAATAGTGAAAGGAAGGAAGAGAGAGAGAGAGAAAGGAAGCCTGTAGTAAGGTAATAGGAAGGAAGGAAAGGAGAAAGAAGCTAGGAAGGGAAAAAAGAAGGATGGAGGGAAGAAAGAAAAAGAAAAAGGAA